AAATCATTTAATTATCTAAATTTCTTTTTTGGCTTTTCTATGTTCCTTGTGTCTATTCTATCGACCCATTATCATTTCATTTCCAGTATAATTTAAATTGCAGGATATCATTAAGTAGTATAGAATTTACATATTAGAGAGTGCTGGGTTTTTCTTTATTTAATTTCCTCGAGTTGTATGCTTCACTGGAATGGCTAGGTCCAGAATTCACACACACACATACACACACACACACACACACACACACATTTTCATAAGTCCACTTGTGACTGTTTGCCATAGTCTCTACTTAAAAAGAGAAATACACTAAAAATGTTTTTATGCTCTAATATATTTTATATAGTGAGTATATAAGAAGGAACCCTGTGATTGAAAATAAGCAACTGCGAAAGGAAGACAGGTAGTTACGCAGATGACTGCTGCAGGATGGCTCAGGAAGGCAGGCAGACATAGTCACCACAGGAGCAAAATATCCTTGAGGTCAGTACATGTGACCGGGGGAACATGTAGGGGGAGGTCTATGTTTAAAATGAAAGACAGTAATGATCCATTTCATAGACACAATAAAGGTTTTATTGTTGCTGCTGCTGTTGTTTTATAATGAAGAGTTGCTAACAAGTTACATGTAGAAAAATCTATTGGGTTGTGTCTCCCTTAGCAGCCTACAGTGAATCTGATCACCAAAGTGATGTTTACTTTGTGTTCGCAAAAGCCGTATTTATGGTTATGGTTGGGATGCTCAGACACAGGTCCTTCTCTTTTCATTGTCTTCAAAGGTGGGACTTCTTGATGCCGTGTTCCTTGCTGGCAGGATGACAGCAGTAGTTAATCTTCTCATATTTCCAAAGTTAGCCTTCTGCTCCTTCTGGGTGATTGTCAGGTTGGTCCCTGTTCTTCCTTTGTTCCAGGTAGATAATTGGGAAATGAGAAGAAATTGAACATATGTGCTATAATTTATCAGCATTCTGGGCTTTCTGTCTGCTCAATGTCTTCTTCTGCCCCAATAGAAAGCAAATCCCAAGTCAGAAGAGGTATCATATCTGGACAGGAAGTGAGAAAAATCAGAGCAGCATAATGTGTAGGATTTGACACATCCCTTTAGGGGAAGCAGAGGCCCAGTTTTCTTTGAGAAGGAAAGGCTGAACCAGCCAGGAACACACACCTTTCTGCATTGTCTGGCTGTCTGCGAAAGGCAGATGGAAAACTGAAATGCAGATTACATTCAGGAAGAAGCAGCTTCTCCCCAGGTATCCACGCTTACCTGTGGTTAATCAATATTTCCTCAGTATCTCATGTTTCTATTTTTCTGCTCCATCTTGTGTCCCCCTATAAATAGATTCTCAGTTATATGTAGTTCAAACCCACCAAGGTGTGATCTGATAGTGGCTTTCAGAGTAGGCGTGTGTGACAAGAGGCTAAGAGAGAACTTAAAGCCACATAAACACTTTACATTTAGCTAGGAATGCAGCCAGTGACAACTTAAAGAAACTTGCCTATTTGGTTTAATCAAATAGTGATGTAATTGTTCCATGCAATATAGTAACCACTGGCCACATGTGGCTATTTAAATTTAAAAATACATTAAGCGTTTATTCCTCAGTCTCACTAGCTACATTTCAACTACTTTGCATGTGGCTAGTGGCTACTGGATTGGGCGGCTCAAATATTGCAGGAAGTTGCACTGAGCAGCACTAAATGTGGGCAGTCACAATGCTGATGACACTCAGGGTCCTTCTAGATTCTTACCAAGTTATTCATTATTTACAGATGTCACTGTTCTTTCTCCAGGCCTCATGTCAATGCTCCAGGCAGACAAGAGGGAAAGAGTAAGAAAGAGATGTTGATCGCTCATTCCCTTCCCACTTTCTCTTTTTCAGAAAAATAATAACTTATTCAGAATTTTCAACTGTTAAATTAATTCTTATAGCACATAAAACGAAAATCAGTTGGATGACCTTCCGTGACTAGGAGAAGGACTGGGATAAGTATATTTAATTGGTACTTGGCTACTACAAACAAAATCAGAGTTGTGTTGTGAGACAAAAGGGAAGAATCAAAGTTGAGTAGGTAACATCAGAATCTGAAACACATGGGATATCTTTTTTACAACATCAATTGTACTCAATTTAAAATATGTGCTTTGAGTTTTTCATAGGTAAATTTTAAGAAACTTAAAATGGTGAAAATTAAAAGAAACATAGATATGCTTTCACAGTAGAATATTTCCAAACTACAAATTTTTGATAAAACATGATAATACAAAGAAATTTTGTCCCTTGTTTAATATATCCCTCCATATACTATTGTGTTTAATAGTGTAATATATACCACCATATACTATTGGGGTTCTTAGCCTCCTTTTGCCATTAGGGGGATTTGGGTTTAATAGAAGGAAAAACATACATTAGGTGCTTCTTTTATTAGTACAATTTTCATTTTCATGGGAGGCCCCAGGAAACTAACTGATAAGTCTTCAGGGACTCAGATCATGAGATATCTACACAGAGCTGAGAAGCTTTTGGTTGTTTCGTGTCCTGTGGGCTTTACAACTTTTTGCAATCCCTTAGATAAACCTGAAACAATTGTGTATAAAAGGTATGTTAGTGCCTCACCTGCCTTAAAAGGGTCTTCAAACTCTCTCTAAGATCTTCTTAAAATGAAAAACCTGGTTTGGATTTCTTTATTTTTTTATTGCATTTTAGGTTTTGGGGTACATGTGAAAAACATGCAAGATTGTTGCATAGGTACAAACGTGGCAGTGTGATTTGCTGCCTTCCCCATCACCTATATCTGGCATTTCTCCCATTGTTTTTCTCTCCCCAACTCCCCACCCCCCGCTGGCCCTCCCTACTTCCCCCCAACAGACCCCAGTGTGTAGTGCTCCCCTCCCCGTGTCCATGTGTTCTCATTGTTCAACGCCTGCCTATGAGTGAGAACATGCAGTGTTTGATTTTCTGCTCTTGTGTCAGTTTGCTGAGAATGATGGTCTCCAGGTTCATCCATGTCCCTACAAAGGACACGAACTCATTGTTTTTGATGGCTGCATAATATTCCACTGTGTATATGTGCCACATTTTCCCTGTCCAGTCTATCATTGATGGGCATTTGGGTTGGTTCCAGGTCTTTGCTATTGTAAATAGTGCTGCAATGAGCATTCGTGTGCATGTGTCCTTATAGCAGAACGATTTATAATCCTTTGGATATATACCCAGTAATGGGATTGCTGGGTCAAATGGAATTTCTATTTCTAGGTCCTTGAGGAATCGCCACACTGTCTTCCACAATGGTTGAACTAATTTACACTCCCATCAACAGTGTAAAAATGTTCCTATTTCTTCACATCCTCTCCAGCATTGGCTGTCTCCAGATTTTTTAATGATCACCATTCTAACTGGCATGAGATGGTATCTCAATGTAGTTTTGATTTGCATTTCTCTAATGACCAGTGATGATGAGCCTTCTTTCATATGTTTGTTGGCCTCATGTATGTCTTCTTTTGTCAAGTGTCTGTTCATATCTTTTGCCCACTTTTGAATGGGCTTGTTTGTTTTTTTCTTGTAAATCTGTTTTAGCTCTTTGTAAATTCTGGGTATCAGCCCTTTGTCAGATGGGTAAACTGCAAAAATTTTTTTGCATTCTGTTGGTTGCCGATTCACTGTAATGATTGTTTCTTTTGCTATGCAGAAGCTGTGGAGTTTGATTAGGTCCCATTTGTCTATTTTGGCTTTTGTTGCCAATGCTTTTGGTGTTTTGGTCATGAAGTCCTTGCCTACGCCTATGTCCTGAATGGTTTTGCCTAGGTTTTCTTCTAGGGTTTTTATGGTGTTAGGTCTTATGTTTAAGTCTTTAATCCATCTGGAGTTAATTTAGTGTAAGGTTTTAGGAAGAGGTCCAGTTTATTTTTTCTGCACATAGCTAGCCAGTTTCCCAACACCAATTATTAAACAGGGAATCCTTTCCCTATTGCTTATTTTTGTCAGGTTTGTCAAAGATTGGATGGTTGTAGATATGTTGTGTTGCCTCCGAGGCCTCTGTTCTGTTCCATTGGTATATATCTCTGTTTTGGTACCAGGACCATGCTGTTTTGATTACTGTAGCCTTGTAGTATAGTTTGAAGTCCGGTAATGTGATGCCTCCCACTTTGTTCTTTTTGCTTAGAATTGACTTGGCTATGTGGGTTTTGGTTCCATATGAAGTTTAAGGTGGTTTTTTCCAGTTCTGTGAAGAAGGTCATTGGGAGCTTGATGGGAATATCATTGAATCTGTAAATTACTTTGGGCAGTATGGCCATTTTCACGATATTGATTCTTCCTAACCATGAACATGGAATGTTTCTCCATCTGTTTGCGTCCTCTCTTATTTCGTTGAGCAGTGGTTTGTAGTTCTTCTTGAAGAGGTCCTTTACGTTCCTTGTTAGTTGTATTACTAGGTATTTTATTCTCTTTGTAGGAATTGTGAATGGCAGTTCGTTCTTGATTTGGCTCTCTTTAAGTCTGTTATTGGTGTATAGGAATGCTTGTGATTTTTGCACATTGATTTTGTATCCTGAGACTTTGCTGAAGTTGCTTATCAGTTTCAGGAGATTATGGGCTGAGACAATGGAGTCTTCTAGATATACTATCATGTCGTCTGCAAATAGAGACAATTTGACTTCTTCCTTTCCTATTTGAATACGCTTTATTTCTTTTTCTTGCCTGATTGCTCTGGCTAGAGCTTCCAGTACTATATTGCATAGGAGTGGTGAGAGAGGGCATCCTTGTCTAGTGCCAGATTTCAAAGGAAATGCTTCCAGCTTTTGCCCATTCAGTATGATATTGGCTGTTGGTTTGTCGTAAATAGCTTTTATTATTTTGAGATACGTTCAGTCAATACCTAGTTTATTGAGAGTTTTTAGCATAAAGAGCTGTTGAATTTTGCCAAAGGCCTTCTCTGCATCAATTCAGATAATCATGTGGTTTTTGTCTTTGGCTCTGTTTATGTGGTGAATTACGTTTATGGACTTGGGTATGTTGTACCAGCCTTGCATCCCTGGGATGAATCCTTCTTGATCATGGTGGATAAGCTTTTTGATGTGCTGTTGCAATTGGCTTGCCAGTATTTTATTGAAGATTTTTGCATTTATGTTCATCATGGATATTGGCCTGAAGTTTTCTTTTCTTGTTGAGTCTCTGCCGGGTTTTGGTATCAGGATGATGTTTGTCTCATAAAATGATTTAGGAAGGATTCTCTCTTTTTGGATTATTTGGAATAGTTTCAGACGGAATGGTACCAGCTCCTCTTTGTATGTCTGGTAGAATTCGGCTGTGAACCCATCTGAACTGGGCTTTTTTTGGGTGGTAGGCTCTTAATCGCTGCCTCAACTTCAGACCTTGTTATTGATCTATTCAGTGTTTTGACTTCTTCCTGGGTTTGGATTTCTTAATGGGGTAGTGGTGAAAAGGAAGCATCCATCAATCTAATTTTTCTGCTATCAGTGTATTACTTTCAAAATGTTAATATCCATTTACAAGTGAGTTTCCTTTTTAAGCGCTATGGTATATTTGTTCTATGGTAGGATTCTTTGGCAGTGGGGATTTCTTAATGACCATAGACATAGGCTTATTGTGCCACATGGATGGCCCCCTCAAGAAATGTTTTAGTACAGGTTAACTATGATTTTGCAGAATAAATGACCAATGATAGTGTATCAATTTTCCATAATTTCCCTGAGCTTCTATCCCATATTCCAATATTTTTAATAAAATGAAATGGGATTTTGATGCATCTTGATTCCTTGATGCAGCCATTCTAAAAGTTGATAATTAGCCACAAATATTAAAGACAGAAGTAGCCTTACACTTTTTCTCTGTGGGTAAATGTTTTTTTTTTTTTTTTTTTTTTTTTTTTACCTTTAATTTAATGGTTTAAAATATGTAAGATCTAGCATTCCTCCAGTTGTAACATTGTGATTTCTAGCTTCTACATACTCCTGTGTGTTTATGTGTTATATGTGTTACTATGCTTATCACCCTTCATGAAAGCAAAAGAAAAAAAAATAAATAAAAAAGACTCTGCTTTCTCCCTTACAATTACTTACAAAGTCAGCTTAATACCAATGCATAGATAAACACAGACAAATATAAATTTTTACGTAGGGCTCACAGCAACAAGTGAATAAAATGATATGTCTATGTCTTGAACACAGAAAACAAAGAAGCAGACCTTATGTTTGCTTTTACTGGAATGACAAGGCTGGAAATTAATGTAAAAGGTTAGAAAATTAAGTTTTTAAAACTTTTAAAACCAAACTATATTGTACATAAAAAATAGCAAGTCATACTGTATTGCCTGATTTACTATTAAAAGGTAAACACATTTATATAACCACTACCTGTATCAGAATATAAGAGAGACCCAGCACCTCAAGAAGCCTCTCTCATACCTCCTCCTAATATTGCCCCTACACAGATAATTACAACTTTGAATTGCATAATCATGAACTAGGTTTGTTAAATTTTTTGCATTTTATAGGAATGGTTTCATATAGTATGTGTTGGTTTGTGCCTGGATCCTTTTGATCAACATAGTGCAGCTGAGATTTATCCATGTTGTATGTAGCACTGATGCAGGGTTTTTCTTCTTGGTCACTTTGCAAGCCAGAAACCCCTGGTCAATGATGACCCACCCCCAGCCTCAGTCAGCCATGCTGGCATGCCCCAGTTCACCTGTGCTATAGTTTATACCCACGTTTGGCAGTACCCAAACTCTTGTGCTGTGCCCAAGAAAAATGAGGATATGCTGGATGCTGAAGGGTGAGGAGGGCCAAGAAGAATTTTATTGAGTAACAGAACAGCTCTCAGCAGAGAGGGAATCCTACCCAAAGATAGGAAAGTCCCCCTCTATGGCTGGGTCTGGGGACTTTTATGGACTCAGAATGGAGTGTGTATGTGCTAATTGGTTTGTGAGTATGCAAAAAGGGTTAAAGCAAGGAAATCACTCAAAGGTGAGCATGACAGTATAAAAAACCAATTAGGAAAGAGTAGATATTTATAAAATAGGCAGAGTGGAGATCAGTCAGAGGAAAACACCCCAAAGAGGACAAGTTCTCAATTCAGTCCAAGGACTTAACTTGTAGCTTGGCTTTTAGGCTTTAAACTGTCTTCAACTTGGCAGTGAGGTTTCAGTGGGGACAAACCCTTATTTGCCTAGGCATTTGGCTGCTTCTTGCTGAGAGCTGTTCTGTTACTCAATAAAATTCTTCTTGGCCCTTCTCACGCTTCAGAGTCCAGCAAAGTCTTTTATTCTCTATCAGCAGTTATTTGTTCTTTTTGATTGATGTGTAATATTCCATTTTAAGAATGTAACACTATTTCCCTATTCTACTGCTGATGTTATTTCCAATTTAGAGTTCTCATGAAGAGTGCTGCTTTGAATATGTAGCATTAATCTCACATTACACATTTCTGTTCACTTTTTAATTTTATATATGTATATACCTCAGAGTGGAACAGAGGAGATGCAAGGTATAGCTGGCTATAGTCATCTTGTTAGATACTGCCAGTTTTCCAAGGAGATTATAACAGTTTATGCATCATTATTAGTGTCTGAGAGTTGAAATTATATTCATTGTCCTCACCAACACTTTTCATTGTTGGCTATCTAAGGGATGCTTTTGAGTGTAGGATAGTATCTCACTGGTGCTTTTTAATTTGGTTTTCCCTGATCACTCAGAATATGCAACACCTCTTCATATTTTTAAAGATGATTTGAAATGTACTTTGTTGTGGAGAGCTTGTTTGTCATTAGTCTGTTTTTCTCAAAGGGTTGTCTATCATTTTCTTGTTAGATTTTTTTGAATTTTAAAATATTCTGAAAGATACTTATCTTTTAGATGTAAGTATTACAGATATCATCTATCTGAAGCTTGGCTTTACACTCTTTAAATCTTTTTTTGATATATAAATGTTATTAAAATTTTATTGAAAATTTGAAAACATTGCTACCATGCAGCAGAGCTTAATAAAGATTCCTGTAAGAAATTCTGTATCTCATTTGTTAGTATTTCTGAGTTTTTTGTTTTGTTCTGTTTTTATTTTTTTGGTAGCCTGTTTAAGCAATCTGCTCCCATAAATTTATGTAAATATGTCCCATAAATTCATTTTTCTCTCCTGTTCAAATGCTTAAACATCTTTGTTTTCAAATAATTTATTTGTGAATTAAAATAGCTTATTTTATTTGTAATAGAAAAAATATTTACTGTTTCAAGCTATAATGCTTTATAAGGAACATGCTTTATTTGCTGAGCTGGGTGATTAGAATGAGGAAATTTGCAAGAGTCTGGAGGTAGATGGATAATTGAATTATGCTATGAAAAGAAACCATAAAATAAGAAGACCCAGCTGACAGATTCCAATGTTGAAAAGCTGTAGCCTTAATGTTGGAGATCCCTATTGGTAAAGAAAAAGTTAAGGGAAAAGAATGGAACAGAAGGTGTTTCAATTTTTATTAATTTCCGCTCTATGGTTACAATGAATCTCACAATAAAATCTACATTGCAAGCTATTGCTTCCTAGAATCGTATGTACTTTAGGTGAAATGTGGAAAAAGTTCTAAAGATTACTCATGATGGGCACAAGTAACTGCAAAGGTGATCATGAGGACCCCATCACATCTGTGCAATCCACAATTCTAACAGGTCTACACAGTGCAATTTTCAGTTGCATTTTCAGTTAATTACAGAAAAATCATTTATTATTCTTCATGATATCATACTTTAAAAAGAAAAGTTAGCCCAATTCATTTTCCTAACTTTAATAACATTTTATATAATTTTCTGTGTTCCTTTTAATTCAGAAGTTGATATAGTCTTGCAGTGACACGTTTATTAGAATAAATAAAATGATATCATATTTTCAATATGCTATAATTCTCTAAATTGTGGACATGTAAAAATCATGCCTAAATATGTCCAAACTGGGTTAGTCTTTTTTTCTCTTTTTGCTACAACAAATTCATTTTGTTTATATTTACATCAGTAATAGAGACGGTAACTTGCCGTGTTGTGTTTACAAAGTAGGTTTTGTTCTATTTGACATATTTTAGCCATGTCCTTGGTTTTGTCTCTCACTAATATAATTTGGCTAGGGAAATCTGGTTTTTATTGTTTCCAGAAAAATGAATACTGGTAAGAATTGATAATAATGTTAATAATTGCCTGCCTTAAATGTTGACATGTATTTTTGAAAAAAAAAATGGAATACTGCACCTTCAAGAGGATACCATTGCTGCTATTACTCACATTCAAAAACTGTATTTATTGCCATATACTACTAGACTTACTTCTCCTGCTTGATTCTCTGTTTTCTCTCCTATAGTACTAGAAAGTAATAAAATTCACTGAACTACTATCCTTGACAAACCAATCCTGCCCTTACGAAAGAAAGACCTTAAAATAAAATTTCTGTCAAAAGAATTTCAAGACTTCCACAACTTTGCATGCAAAACTCATGTAACATGTACATTGACAAAGATCCTCCACATTGTTATTATCATAGGTGAGAACTGATCTAGTTAGAAAGAATGCCAGTAGTGCCCCTGCAGGTGGGAAAGGGGTGAGATGATTGACACAGAGTTTGAGTGTCAACACTAGAGTCCTGATGAAACACGTTGTTTAGAATTTCAACTAAGATTTTCAAAATCAAGAACTTCAGATGTTGTTAATTGAGACATTTTATAAAATGACAGATAACTTATTCTGTGTGGGATCTTCTAACCAAAAATATAATTTTGCCTTTGGCTGGTTGTCAAGGGCTGATTAGGTAGTATAGAAGTTGAATACTAAAGGAGTTATTTTTTAAATAGAAGAATTTTTGTCTACCACTTTCCAGTAGGAAAAAGAAAAAGAAAATTCTATCCTATTGCAAGTGGGATTAAGCATATTTTTTCTAATCGATTACACAGGAAATCAGGCACAATGCTCTATAGACATGTAGGAAATGTGTATTGAACACTTGTATTATACAGCATGGACATAG